ACATAGCAAACAAATTGTTAAAGTTCCAATGATTCATAATTTACTTGATACAAAATTAAGAAACCATGAATCAATAAATGTATTTACCTGCTGACAAGTTTTTACTTTTTCACAGAAATCTCGGAAAGACTCTAAAAATTCTGTAGGCTTAAATGTGCGTTCATTCTCACAATAATGTTGTGCCAGACGTTTAAAACGTGCTTCTAGACGGTCCATAGTTACTTGAACCTCTTCCAAGTCTGCTTCAGCATCCTATGGGTGAGAATATTTTTTTTAAAACATTGAATCCAAGAGTTAATAATATGATTATAGATCTGTGTAAAAGAAATGAAATTAAAAAACTATAATTTGAAGCAATGAAAAGTTTCAGAAAGCGAAATGTTGAGCCAAATAGAAAGCATTAAATTACATGCATCAGAAAACAAATGTTGGATAGTAACATCTAAATGCATGACCATATATGATAAAATGGAGGATAAATATTGAGTTTTCATTATTATGACCAATCAGATGCAAGGATTAGTATTACAACACAATATATTTTATTTAAATATTAATAGGATTATTTTATTGGCAGTTTTGATTTGAATCTACAGCTACAGAATTCCTTTTCTATTCAGACAAATGTTTGAGAGAATAGTTTCCACTCTTAAACCTTCAGTTTTCCTCTTCTGATAGGGGGAACAGCTGACCAATGTGTATCAAGTTTATCTTTATTCTATACAGATTTATAGTCATTAACCAACAAGAATAAGTTTTAAAACTGCAGCATCATTTACTGCACTTCAGGTGAGCCAGAGAATATCACCAGATAAATCATGTTATTTCAATCAGATGATCATTTGTCTTTGGAAATCACATGAAGCAATCCAGTCTGTTAGCTGGTTGGCATAATGGCAGTGGTTCTATAATGCTGTTGACCATCATTTTCTCATGTCAGCCAGCTTCAGCCCATACTTTTGCTCTTGGATCCATCTTTAGCATATGTCTCCCAGCGAGATTGTAGATGTCAATGGAGTAAGATTGAAAACTTTCACTTTGTCCTGATCAATTCATCAGGGTTACCCACTCTCATCAATGTATTTGCATTGGAGCTCTTCCTTCACATGTTAAAGGTAAATCTGATCCTATGTGTTATTATTCTACCTGGTGTTACCATCTTAGCTAGGCTTTCCTCTTATGCTAATGACATAATCACTCTTGTAATGAATAATGATGAGAACGTCAGCAGGGCAATCAGCAGGTACAAGATAGTGACAAGGGCCAAGGTCAACCATGATAATTCTGTTGGTTTGAGGTTGGTTACATGGAATGGAGTTTCTCTGCCCAGATGAGGCTTGCAAGATATTCGATGCCTGATTTGTTTCTACCTCTAGTTGGAGATCAATTGGTCGAAGGTTTGACAAAAAGCTGAGGCTGCAGTTCATCTGTGTTTTCATGCCCATGCACCAAACTTATGAAATTAGTTCAAATCTTGTTTAACCTCTTGTGGGCTGACACTGCTCTTCAGGTGCATTGCAAAGTCTGTTGACTCCACCCATCTGAAGGTAGTCTAAGAATATCTAGTGTTCAGATGTGTCAACATACACTATGGCTCAGTTTCCTGGGTTTAATGTGTTCCCAAAATGAGGGTAACAGCAACAAGAAGAAAGAAAATCTTTTGTCTTTAAGAAGTGAATGTGAAGATAAGGGGAGGCCTACTGGTTACCCTGAGCTGACTGCTCTTTTCATCATAAGTGTCGGCATGCTATGAATATCTTTTCATGGGTTACTGAAAGCTTCTGTAACATCCAACTGCTGTCTCAGAAGGCATTATATCATGTATTAGTAAGTTGGGGTTGTTCATTATTATCTGTTGGACACACTCAGTTTGACAAGGTAGAAGTACTTCTCTCTTGAGTGCCCAGGTTGTGATGTCTCAGTAACAGTAAGGCATCACTCACCTGTATTTGCAAAAGTCTTGATACAGTGAGGCTGGCAGTTAAGTCAGAATATGTGTACCTCAATAAATGGGACATGTCTCTAGGGCATGCTTTCTTCCACTGTAGTGTCATACACCATTGTGCAAGCTTATTGAAGACTACATTGTTCATATATTTCATCAAAAGTTGTTTGTCCTCAAGTCCAGTTCTATTTGTAGCAATGTACTGCAGCCGGACAAAAATGAACACAATGTGTTCTTGTGCTTATTCAGCATCATGAGAGTCATGATTTGGATGACATGATGGAATGAATCTCTTGGGAGTGAATTCTCTTCTCAACTGATTTTGTTCTTTATGCATCAGCTTAAAGTCAAAATCAGGTTTTATGTCTAAATGTGGGAGTAATTGTCTAATTGATATCTCTGCCACAATTTGACTGTGAGAGTTCACTTTACTAACAATTGTTTTTTTTAGTTTTGTATATATCACATTGCAGAGATTTTTTAATATACTTTTGAAAATTTTTTGTCCTACCCCTACAATAACAGTACATATGGAATTACTAGGTAGAGGTTTATAGAGCAAATGCAGTTTTATGGTGCCTGTGTATGAATGTTTTGTGTAAATCTGTTCATGTTCCCATATGATGACTGAAGGTAAGCAACATTAAGCCGGATCAGTACCTAGATGGGTGACCACTTGCAAATACCAGGTGCTGTAAGCTTGAATGTACGGGTGGTGTAATGTATAATGTTTCAGAATTGTTAATTGGAGAACAGAGTTCCAAATTCTGTTGAGTTCATTATATTGACTTACATGCAAAATACCATTACAAAATGTATGAATCCACCTCTTCTCCCCCAGCTATGGATTAATTATTAAAACTTGTATCACTAAACCATTATTATCTCAAAAAAAAAAAAAAATCTTACAATCAACAAATACTTTCTGGTTTTATATAACCCACAAAGGGTTGATGAGTCATAGAAAACAAATCAATGTAAATGTGGTATTCTGTTGAAAGCAACAGTGGATAGATGAATGATTGAGGCTAGCTAAGTTACTGTTAAGAAAAGTTAAAAGCAACCTTTTGCTACTTCACCCATTTTGCCCTCATAGCTTATTTGTATGCATGCTACAAGAAATATTCACATTTTTGCTCTTTCTTACTTTGAAGTTAGAATACTATAACCACTTAACAGTATCCTTTTTGTATTCCTACCTTGTTATCCTTTTGCTTTTTTAAAATCTTATAGTTGCTTGCATTATATATATAAACTACTAACAATACTTGTTTGGGGAAAAAACCTGGGATAGCACACCTTGTAAGTCTATCAAAACAAATTGGTACCCAAGGAAAAAAATTGGAAAAAAAAAAAAAAAAGTAAGAACTAGAAACATCCAAACAGGGCAAAATAAATCGTCCAGTGCCTTAAGTTTTTAGTCCAAAGAAAAAAACCCAAGTGAGTAATAAAGCTAAAACGTAGAGTGCTCAATATGATAAGCAGTGTAGGGATAAATGAAATAAATCCTAAAGAGCCAGGAATAAATTACCTAGGTTTCACCAAAACAGATCTCTAGGGAAAGCTGACTCAAGAGGAAATGACATGAAACAGTATCTATTGATAAAACCACTAAAAAATAATTAGCATAGAACCTTGTGACAGAAGAAGATAGAGAAAAAAAAAAAACAAAAAAAACACAGAGCTTCTATTCAGTACCATCTTCCTGTTTAATATTCCATATGTATGTAGACAAGCTAGTGCTGTGTTTGTAATTTTCATGCTTAAAGCTACTTAAATGATTGTAGTAACACTTTTTGAAATTACCTTGAGTGGATCCTATGTAAAATTTAACATTTTTATTGCTACTATTAGGTTTATTTCTGTGGATTTCAACTTTATAAACCACACATTCCTTTTGCCACCTGCACTTAAGTAGGCAGGCATCCTTATTTCTACAGTTACATTTAGTGGAGTTGGAATGTGGTTTGTCTATGATTTTTTTCCTGTTATATTTATTAAGTTAGCCATGTTCGGCATACAACTGTAACTTAATTTAACAATTTCTGTTGAAAATCTTGTACAATGTTTGTTGGCGGGAAATTCTTTTTTTAGTAATTTAAGAAATATTTGTCCTATTTTAGTTGCAATGGTGGGAAGTTAAACCATAATATGTTTCTGGCTCTATTTTTGCATTTACCTTGCGTGCTAGGAGAGTTATGAGTATAAATATATGCCAATTTACTTTTGTGTCCACTGTTTTCCAATGCCTTTTCATAATCTTGTTTATTTTGATTAAAAATATTAGCACTGGGTGAATTAGTAGACAATCTATAAGTAATTTCATTAGGTATATGTTTTAAAACATGCCTGGGGGCAGGGTTGAACCTACATCAATATAACACGGCTGTTGATTGTTCTTCCTAAATGGAGAAATTGTACAATTCTGTAAGTCGAGGGCAATGTCTAAATAGTAACCACCACTAGCTTGTCTATATTCATATGGAATATTAAACAGGAAGTTGTATTGACCCCATCTTAAAATGGGAAATATTAAAAGAATTCCATAAGTATAAAGCAGGGGACAGATATCACTTATTATGCATGGAGGAAAAATTAGCAATAGCCACCTCTAATGAACCTAAGAATTTATTAAATCAAAGATCTGAGATTTTAAATAGGTGTAGGCATAGGAGATCCTAGTTATTGGAATAGAGGCTCTGTTTTTTTGTTTTTTTTTTTCTCTATCTTCTTCTATCACAAGGTTTTATGGTATAGTCAATTATTCCACAGTTCTTCTAGACTAGTCACTACCCAAAGCTTGAGACCTCAAAGTGGTTGACTATTTTACCCATAATTGGGAGGAGAACATATAAATTCTCAAATGAATTAGTGCAAAGTGAACACAAACTATTTCAATTGGATTTTGCAACTTTAAGTGACCATTCAACCTGAATAGCTTTGGGTTACTTAAGTAATCCTCTTTAAAATAAAGAAGCAACATACACATTTTAAATCATTGATTTGAAAGAAGCACTAACCTCCAAGAAGTCTTTAAACTGTTCTGCAACTTCCTCTTTGACTTCTTCCAACTGTCGATGGACACGGGCAACATTGGTCTTCAACTGCTTAAACTCAGATTTCATGTTTTCCAAACTTATCCTGAAATTCAGATTTAGGCATCCTTTTCTAATCTTTTATATATGAAAATTTGTGTTCTGTGATATAATTTCTTCTTTGAATAAAGTTTGCATATATCAAACAATTTCGATATATTCTGCTTTTATTGTAACAAAGATATGTGCAGTTTATAGAAAAGTTACTCTGAATGATCACAGGTTTCAAAAGTGGTTTATGAAGTTTCACAGTGGGGATTTCTTACTGAATAATACTCCATGGTTTGAGATTGATAGTGACTAATTCTGATATTACTTGAAAATAATCAATATTATATGATATAAAATTCTTTGTTAATTAGATAAACATTGTTATGATTTGGCTGGGAAGTTTTCATTCATCTGCCTTATTTACTAGATATTGAAACTTCAAATTACTATTTATAGAATTCTCTTACAGAAAAAAATCACTTCCTTTAAAAATTGCAAAAGTAATCCAAAATAGTTCTTTACTAAGAAATATAAAAATTTCAAAGAGAATCAAATAATGAAATAGCCTTAAAAATGTCAAAAATAAAGGAATGGAAAATATATTGTTCAATAAAGGTAATGCTGAAAATAATTTCATTTTAGCTTAATAAACTAAACAAATTATTTGTTCATATAATATGTCCACATTTCTTGACCAATTTCAATGAAATTTTATACACATGTTGCAAATTTACCTCTCTCTGTGTGTATATGCTATTTATGCATGTCCACATTTCTTGAAATTGTACACACATATTACAAATTTACTGAAGTAGGTCAAAATTAATTTTTCAATCTCCAAAACCCCGGGTTTGGCAGAAAAATTGATAAAACTGAAGGTGGGTACAACTTTTTGCAAAATCGAAGGCAAAGTTACATGCAAAGAAAAAATTTACTATACTAGCTGATGTTCTTTGCACTTAATGCAAAATATAGCTCATGTTACAAGGTTTATGTAGAGTGTTTGATAGTTTACCTGCAACATTGGCTTCACACAAAAATTTGCAAAAAACTGTGAAAAAGTCAGGTTTTTTGTACTACTTAAAATAAAAACTTGAATAACTTCCTCATTTTCTATCCAATTTGCTTGAAACATTGCCATCATGCAAGAAATAAGATGATGTAATTTTAATACTTCTTGCTTCCCTGCATATAATGAAAAACTACAAAAACTGTTCAAAAAGCTTATTTTTTTTTTTGCCAAACTCCCTGCTTTTTCATCCGATCTTTCCAAATATAAATTACATATGACACACAAATTGTCTTGCCTGCATGTTTGGTTTAGTTTATTTCAGTTAAGTAGATGAAATCTGAAACAAACTAGGTCCAAAATCGGCTTTAGCCTTTTAGCAAACAGTTTCTTCATATGATTCCATCCTAAATTAGGATTCAAACAACCTTTGATGCAAAAATTATTTGAGAAGGATTACTGAAGCATTAAAAGGGAAAAATTCCTGAAGAAGCTCTTATTAACTCCAACTTTACAGTAAATGTGCAAAGAAGGAGGGGGGCGTTTATGCATTTGCACTTTGTAGTTGAATCAAGCTCTGCTGCTTCTTCCTGGTTTTTGTTTGATTATTAGATTTGGGAACAATGCCATACTATTTGAAAGTTATTGCAGCCATAGGAAATTTACTGAATATCTAAAACATTGAAACAATTCAGCCCTGAGTAACAACCACACAAGAAGGTTTTATCGATGGAATTTCTTTATTAAGGACAATCAAACACTTGCATAAAAAAGATGAGTGGGAGGTGTAGCTTAGTATACCAACAAATAATGTGGTTATACAATTGCAGCCAAATACACCCAGGCGATGCTGGGTACCGTGGCTAGTTATAAATATATTATTATAGATTTCAGACAAATTAATTACATACCATATAAACACTCATGTATCATTCACCTTTTGAGGACCTAATTTTGAAGCTAATTTGACTACAGTGAATGCATATGTAGTTTGGTCAATGGTGTAGCCAGGGCCAGCAGTACATATGCTAATTTTATATCTCATGTATGATGCAACCCCCTTAAAATTTGATCTTCAAAAGTTGCATGATGCACGAGTATATATGGTAAGTAAATCACTTTTAAACTCAAATAGCGGCTTCTGAAGTGAATTCATATTTTTTTATATTTCTACTATAAGGGTTTATATAAGAATAGCTAAGGGATATCAAATATAATTACAAACATGTCAGTTCTTGATGTCTTCATTATTTTCTTTTGCTTCTACAATTGATACTTCATGTTTAGCATATACATTACAGGCAAAGATTAAAAAATACATCAAATTTTATCACTGCATGAAGGAAAATTATTGCTTACATTAAGGATCTGAATCGAGTCCTTTTAAATGTGATATATATATACCTGCAAGTACCATTTTGCCGAGTCAACAGTAGAATCTTTAGACACCACAAAAAAAAGTGAGTCATTGAGTCATGTTTAAGTAGAAATAATGAGATAATGACTGAATAATTAAAAATGTGATTGAAACTTGCAGGATTGAAGAGTTATGGCTTTTTAATTTTAATTTTAACATTTTTCCTTTAATGAACTTTGGTGTATGAAAGTTGTCTCCTGCATAAATACTCACCTAACAGCCTTTTGTAAAGGTTCCAGAAGTTCATCCACAAACTTAAGAGCATCTTTATTCTCACTTTCTGCCTGCTCCACAAGATGATGAAGCAAAGAAAGGCGAGCAACATTTGATCGAGTCATCACCAATTTATTCAAGGAATTTATACGGAAACCAACTGCATTCCCGGAAGATGTTCCCTACAATTGAATAAGCATTAATTCAAAGAATTTCTTTCTTAGAAATTTTATCAAATTTTTAACCAAACTAATAAGTAAAATATTTACAAAAAAAAATAAATTGAGAAAATAATTATTTTTTTATTTGAAGTATTTATAATTAATCATATTGTTTATGACCAAATGTTTCTTGGAAAAATATTTTACAAATTTCTTCTCATATACTAAAATATAAGTAATTATTTTTTCTTTTATCATTTATAAACTGTTTTCTTGTTTCTTCCATCATTTAAAAATTTACTTTTTTATGAACTATGAAGATGAAAACTGTAACAATCATTTTCTTTTCTAGTCAAATCCAATGATATCCCTTTAATGAAATTATTTCTATTGAACAAAATCCTTCTCCTCAAACTGGAAAAATGTCCCTATCTTTTGTTTTGACCCCAAAATAAGATGATTGTTTGATGGAAGAAATTTATTCTCCAGTTCTACAATCTATTCTCTTCTTTCTTTTAGAATTAAAATAAAACAATTGTCAGTTCAAAGATGTTTCCCCCCCCCACTAGTGACCCAAAGTAAAGGTAAAAAGGAAATGCATATTCAGCCTATTAAAATAATGCTATTTTTTTATCTTTACTATTATTGTTTTGTATATAAATATAGCAGTTGAATTAATTTTAATGAGTTGTAAGAAAATAATGATGCAGAGGTTCAAATTAAAAAATCCCAAATCCAGAGTTATAATTTTGTGTTTTGTGTGATTATGTCATGGTCCACTTTCATCAGTCACTGCCGGTTAATTTACAACAAACATCTAATATCAAAATTTAGAGTGTTTAAACACTCCTCTCAAGGATAACAGAGTCAGTTTGATCAATTGCAATTGTAGTGTTCTCAAAAAGATTTAATCTGAAAAGACTGAAGAATTTGTCTGGAAAAAATTCCACCTCCTCCATTAATCTCTATATTTCATCTATTGACCATCTATTTCATTTTGATAATCCAGTGCTTAAAACACATGAACTATCATCTCCATTCTTTTCTTCCAAACCAAAAGACCTTTACACAGACAATATTATGAAGTTTATGAATCAAAACAAGCTAAAATAATGATAGAATTTATGTTAATGTATAGCTGAATTTTTATCTAAAATCTTTTGTGAGTAATGATCAATATTTGCTACTGAATTAAGGAAGAAGATTATATTGAAAAATATCTGTTGTGTAAAATAAGTGCCTTTTTCAAAAGTAGGCAACAGACTTATTGATTTACCAATGTAAACATGACTGATATTTTTTCTGATCTAAAATGTGGATATTACAATCTAATGTATATCATTCAAATGAACAAAAGAATTATTTCAAGTCTTGTGAAATGATTTCCTTCTCATGTTTAAGAATTTGGTGTGATTTACTCCATTCAGTGAAAACTAAAGAAAAAGAATCAATTATTAAAATGTGTGTACCTTGTTTAAAAAATTTCCAGCATGCAATACAAGTCGCAGGAACTTCTTGAGAGAAGTGTTGTCTGTAAGTCGACCACAGACAGTGTTTAAAAGATGAATGTTTGGACGTATCATGGCTAGCTGAGAACTGAAGTCTCCAACAAGTAACATTGCTTCAAGCCGGCAACGGAAAGCTGGAAGTTGTATTAAAAGACGATAGAATTTTTCTGCTGTTCCCAACTTCTCCACATTGCCATCAAAATTTTCAATCAAATCAATCTGAAACAAGATAAGTTTCACAAATCATAAATAAGAAAATTGTGATAAAAATATATGTGCAAGTTGTATCATGGTTTAGTGGCTTGGAATGAGAAATTGATGAATTCAAATTCTGGTTGAATTTACTTTTGTAAAAGCATTCTTGGAAAATGTACAAATCACTGCTTCCTCAATATATGGGTTAAATAGAAGGTTTTCTAGTCTTGATTGGTAATCAGTCTAGGTGAAGAGCAATTCTGAATCCAAATCTGTGTGTTGCGTGGGTGAATGAGATACTATAGAGCAATGGAAAAATATTATGGTGTTTGCAATTAGCTTTGGTATGGAGTTAATGACTATGAACTTGACTGTGGTTGAGGACATAAGTAAGAAAAATTAAATCTTATTTATACTGAAAGTAGATTTTATTTAAAAGCAAAATTTGAAAAATAAAACTATTATTTTATTATTTATTCCTATACTCTTCAGAAATGAAACTATGAAGATGGACCAAATTTATGATCAACTTATTTTCAAAGTTATTAATACTAGTATCCACATCCTGTTTTTAATAATGTTTTTGTTAGTTGTTTTTAGTAATGTTTCAGATTATGCATTCTTCAAACTTTAGGTAAGTAGTTCTGGTTGGTTGTTTTTTTCTTTTATAAACATTTCTAAATCTGGGCATCAAACATTCTAACAGACAGAGAGAGTCAAGTAATCAGACAGAAACTTCACAAACTGAAAACCTATATTTCCTTACAAAATGGAATGATAGTTTCTTTTGCATCATTTTTTTTAAATTTAATTTGAAACCATTCTGATTAAACCTGATGTTTTTAAAAAGTTAGCATGTTTGGCTTCACACAAAAATTGGTGAATTGTAATTACCCAACCAAAAATAAATTCTATCCTAAATATTATCATTTTTATATAACCATACATTAAATTAAATACAATATTTTTCATTAAATTTGTTTTTGGTTATTAATATTTTACACATCATTTACTGACAGATAATCTTTAGTGAAGGATACTTAAATTAATAACAAATAAAATCCATATGATTACTCAAAAGATGATTGCTATATTTCACTTACTGTTTACAATTTAAACTTGGAACAAAATCAGCAGAAGCAACCTTTAGAATATGTAAAATGCTCAAAAGTGGTTCAGGCAGTCTTAAACTTGAAAAGTATCACTAAACAATGCACTCCACATAAGCATTTGTGATGACAAACTGATAACTTATGTTGAATTTAGTTCTGTTCAAATATTTAATAAAGTTTTGATTCTTTTATGTTCCATGAAAAATAATAAAATTTTGATAGGCTTAGTTTAGAAAATTAACATTTTATGAAAAATTGGTAGGGGTATAATTATTTCTGGCAATACTGTAATAGTACAGTTATTGATATTTATTTTTTAGTATCAGATACATAAAGATTGTCATGAATTATAATAAATATATAGCACAAAAATAGAAACAAAATACTGTAAAAATGTTAAAAGATAGGAATAGGATATTGGAAGTTAGAAAAAAGTCAAACAGAGATCAAAGACTGTTAAAAAATAATTGAAAACATTTACAAAATAAAAACAACAAAAAAACTGGCTTTAAGAAAATCAGAAAAATATGATTAGTAATGAAGTAATGTTTCAGGCTAGTATTCTAGTCAGTAAAATTATAGGTCCCTTTGAAGTTGATGATAGTGTACAATGATAAATGTAAAAAATTATTTTATGTCCTTGGACCAGATATTTTCTAAATGCTATATGTCATGCACCCAAATCTTTATGTTAAAGAGTATATTTGTGTAAAACAATGTTTCTTCACATTCTACAAAGCTGACTATTGCCCACATGCCAAGGAAGTCTTCAAATTAATGAATTGGTCTTGTTAGATAGTGATTCATGATTGAAAAATAGATATATGAGAATAGTAATAAATATTCAAGCAAGCTTTTTGATGATGCAATAAAAATGCTGCTAGTAATGTTTAAAGTGAAACAATCAAAAATGGAACAAAATCAATGGATAAATGATTGATAATAGTCATAGAATATCAAAGAGCACATATCAGTATGTCAAATAATGCTTTATTCATGTATATGGGATATTGTATTAATCAAATATATGTTTCTAGGACCTGTATCATGTGGATTCATTTGTATATAAAACATGTAGCCCTTGTTTCCATCATAAAAACTGGAACCAACAAAATAAATTATGATCAATAGGATTTTAATATGGAATTATATCATAAGTTGAAATTCTTAAGATATTGCTCATATAAATATATCATGTAAATTGTACCAATATCAAAATGTCCATAAATATGAAGTTAAAAATACTGGACATCATTTGTCACAATGAATTTGAAAAACTCAACAGTAATCTTTTAGTGATGACATGTAAAAACAATTTTTCATTACCTTTTTTATGACTATTTGATGAAGAAAATATTTTTTTGCTAAAGATTAAAAATGAAAATATCAAAGAAAACTCTTTTAGACTGACCTCATCTTGTTGGGGGAGCAACTTTATTAAACCTTTCAATTTCTCCACTCCAAATGCCCGGACATCTGCTTTCTTTATCATCTCAATTAATTCTTCGTTACTTCGCCGGAATTGTTTCAGGAAGATATTCAAGTTCATGCTCTTCTTAGGGTCAATTAAAGTAATCTAGCAACAAAAAAAGAAAGAAATGAAAACCATAAATTATCGATAATATATTCAAGTATAAAATAACATTCAATAAGGGGTAAGTTTCTATTACTGACCTCAGAGGAAACTGCGGTTCGAATTGGACTTTTCTCTTTTTCAGGTACAGTATTATCTTTTTGGCAAAACAATTCCTCCAGTCTTTTATATTCCATGTCAACGGGGTCCTTCATTTTAAGGACATCATTCCACACACTAACATCTACAATAAAGTATAAGAAGTGTCCAAGTACATTTTATATATTTCAAGAGAAAAAAATCTTACATCAAAATAAATAACAAAAAAATGACAAACTAATTTTTTTTTAAACCAATGATACTTATATATGTTAAAGCAAAAACCTTTAGGCATGTGTCATAAATATTCCTAATTTTCAAGCATGACAATAATATTAGTATAGCTCTCATAAAATTAAGTTTTATATGAAAGATTCCAATTCTGCTTTTTACAGTGTTAAGGAAATCATAATAGCATCTTTGAAGTTAACTTTTTTATTGCTTATGCTATCTTTTACTTTTTTATTGCTTATGCTATCTTTTACAAGCCCTGGAAAAATATTTTGTACTGCACACACATCGATCAGCATTTCTCTTCTTGATGGACACAGAAAAAGACATTTTTGACCAGATAGTCTCTAGCAGTTAATAATGGATTTACCAGGAGAATCCACAATGAAGAAGATTTTGGCTCAATGCAAATTAGTTTTGAGCATTTACTGTTACAGTGCAACACTACAGTGAGCAATTGGCTCATTTGAATGATACATTTGAAGAGAAAAGATATTTTTCTGAGTCAAGAAGTTGAGCATCGATTTTGCTAAATGAAAATTTCTATCCTCATGTGACACAGCAAATGAAGATGGAACTGTATGGGAAGTTTTTTTACATGTAGTATATTGTACATATCTGTCATTTTTAGTTAATTATATATTTTCTTCCGTGTAATATTTCTTGTAAACGTTTCCAACAATTTGAAGACATTTCAATTACAAATTTTTGTAAGAATTACATGAATCAGAATTGGGCATATACTTGACATAGTCTTGGAAAAGATTTCTCCTTAAAGTAGCAATTGAACAATTTTGCTAATTCAGGGTTAATATTCTTGGGGATACCTGCTGGGATTTTATTTGGACCTGTAGCCTTATTAGGGTCAAGGTTTTTGATGTCTTGAGACTTCCTGAGCTGTGATGGAAATATGAATAAGTTTCTGCTCTGCAAATGTGGGGAAGTCAGTAAGGGTGTTAGCCTTCATCTAAGGTGAAGTTAGAAGTAAAGAACTTTGTGAAGAGCTTTGCTTTTTTCTGTCTTAATTTCTGGGATGAGGAGTAATCATTTACACTATATACATTCAGACTATTGTCCTCATCTTTGTTGTTATTATCATAAAACTTTGGGTGTTGTGTCCTACAGGATAATAGCCTAATGGATTAAAACATTGGTTTATAAATTTAGTGACATAGTGATCAATCACTGGGATAGGCAATGTGTATTGGACTCAGTAGAAACCTAGAAGCAATAACTAATCAATGCTAAAAATAAGATATGAAAAGATATTCCTAGACATGAGCAGTGGAAGGAAACAGTTTACTCCCATAGATAAATTAAGGTTTCAGTTCAGAATTCCCTGTAATACACCTGATGAAGTCCAAAAGGCACAACAGTCAAAATGTTGGGAGCTTTGCTTTATGTGAATGAGGATAACTTCAGGGCCATTTATGATAATACGCACTGATACTTTGTCTATTGGTAATTTGATTAGAGATTTTCCAGAACTCACAAGATCCAAGTTGTTTGCTGCAGACACTGGTTTGTGTGTGTGCAGCTGCACCTTGCATTGTCAAGAACTCTTAATGAATGCAGGCAGTTATGAATTCAGCAAGGGTCCTACTACAGTGTTCCCTGTAATAGATATTTCTAGTTGTGGTTATGGTAAACTATAGCTGTAGTACATTTTGGAGTGAACCAGGTCTTTGCTGGTATTTTTTCTGGGGGTATAAAACTTTTAATGCTAGAAAGGATCCATCCAGAGATGAGGACATCATCTTGTGGGGAAAATTGTGAAAATGGCTTACCTTTTAAACAGCTTGCACATCTGTGCAGTGTGCAAACTCCAAACTCCCAACGGTAAAAGGAACCAAAATGGTGGTGCCCATATTTTATGCCCATTTCTCGGTTAATTTTAAACCCTGAATCTCGTTGTCTCATCATTAGCATGCAAATCGTGGTCGGTCCTTTCCGCTGTATAAAGCAGGCTCATTTTTTGCTGTTTGGGATCAGAGAGCTTTCAGCTTGTGAGAAGGTTGGACGTGTGATTGTAAACGGCTGGTTGATTCCGTACCCCCAGGAAAGGCTGGGACCCCCAAAGAGTCTGATTCCCTTGAGGGCAGTCGTGCAGGATCGGAAACAGAAGGTGCGTCCAGTACTTGATTACCGCGAATTGAACAACTTTGTGGATGCTTTTACTGCCGATGCAGAAGTGTGCGCACATAAGTTGAGAATGTGGCGGCAGCAGGGGGTCAATGTGTCGCTTCTGGATCTGCGGAATGCATATCTTCAGATTCACATCGACGAAGCGCTGTGGCCATTTCAAATGGTTATTTTCAAAGACGAACGCTTCTGTCTTACGCGGCTAGGATTTGGGCTAAATGTAGCACCACTCATCATGAAATCCGTTATAGATGCCATCGCATCACAAGACTGCACAATTGAAAGTGCCACATCAGAATACGTTGATGATATCTTCATTAATGAAAGTTTGGGCTCTGCATCGCGTGTAAGAGATGGAGCAAGAGTTTTTGGCTTGCAGGTCTGAGAAGAAAATGGCACCCTCTGATGGAAATGAGGAAGTCAAATTCCGGAAGTCCCTGGCAGCACATATTTTCATTGTGTGGGAAACTTGTTGGACATTTCCCAGTGTGTGGATGGCTCAGGGTGGCAGTTGCATTCGTCAAGCACTTGGCAATTGCAGCAACCAATGGATGGGATGATAACATCAAAGATCCCTCTCTCTGTCGCATACTAGCGGAGATGTTAAGAAGAGTGCGGGAACTGGATCCCATTGGAGGAGACTGGTGCATGTGTGGTGACGAGATCACAGTCTAGGTGGATGCGAGTTCCGTGGCGACAGGAGTGGCATTGAAAGCGAACGGAAATGTCATTGAAGATGCATGCTGGCTGTGTCCGACTAATGATGCCAGGCATATTAATTTGGCTGAACTCGATGTGGCACTCAAAGGAGTGAATCTAGCTGTCCAGTGGGAGGCGACAACATTGCACTTGGTTACTGATTCGGCATGTGTGCACCGGTGGATTTTAGACACCTTGACTGGGAAGGCACGGGTGAACACAAGGGCAGCTGGCGAGATGCTGGTTAGGCGACGACTGGGCATATTGCGATCGCTGGTGGAAGAATATAGATTGACCATAGACATGACACTCATACAGTCCTGTCAGAACCATGCGGATCGCCTCACCAGAGTACCGCACAGGTGGCTAGAACTGCTCAAGAGAGGAGAACTGTGCAGTGGTAGGGAGACAACTGGACGAGGACCAGGTTGCCAATACCCATTGTCAATGGGGACATCCGGGCGTGAAACGAACTCTGTACTTCGCCAGGTTAGTCAACCTGCAGGTGTCCAGAGAAAGTGTTAAATCCATTGTGAAGGCCTGCACAACCTGTCAGTTGATCGATCCGGCACCCGTTCAGTGGGAAAAAGGAGAACTGAGCGTGAAGAGCAACTGGAGAGACTGGCGATGGACATAACTCACTACAATGGTGAGAATTTTTAACGCTTATTGATTGCGGTCCTCCAGGTTTTGCGGTATGGCGGCTGCTTTCGCGAACAAGATCACGAGCACCATCATTTGACTGTTGGAGAATGTTTTCCTGGGCGAGGCCCATCCGTGGAAATACTGACGGACAACGATACTGCATTCACCAGTAAAGAATTTGCGGACAATTGGGACGTGCATCTGCGGTTTCGATGTGCCTACTCGCCAAGTGGAAATGGCATCGTGGAGCGGAACCACAGAACCCTCAAGACCATCGCAGCCAGGAAGGGCTGTACAGTATCGGGCGGTTTACTGGTATAATGTCGCCCCGAAAGATAAAGCCACCATCCACGGCGCCAGCTGATGCACTGCACAAATATCATGTCTGTGTGAAAGGCATCGAAGCCAACCCACTGCCTGAACTAGAAGTGACTGGAGGGAGATTGAAAAAAGGAGACGTTGTTTGGGTCAAAACCCACGCGCGAAGTGTACAACAAAATACAGCACTGGTCGTATACGGAGGTGATCAGCCCCAATCTGTGAGAGTTGATGGGGTGCCTCGTCACATTAAAGACTTGCAACCGGTGATACAATCACTACCGTTACTGAGCGATGAAAGCGATTCTGGTCGTCTGAGAGTAGTGGCGTTCGATCTGCCTTGAGTTAGACCTGCAGGGCAGTGATTCTGATAACAGCAGCCTCCCGGCGGTTTTGTGTTTTTACCGACACTCAAACCACAGGCGAGAACACGCATGAGGATGAAGCTTGTGTTGTCCCCCTTTGGAGGGGACTCGGCGGCGATGATCGCCACCTCCTTGCCCTGTTTGTGATCATGAGATCAGGGGAGGGAGTGGGGGAAAATTGTGAAAATGGCTTACCTCGAAAACGCGTGCGCATCTGTGCAGTGTGCAAACTCCGGGCCTCCCAATGGTAAAAGGAACCAAAATGGCAGCGCCCATATTTTATGCCGGGCGGTCTCGGTTAGTTAACACGAAATCTCGTTGTCTCGTCATTCACATGCAAATCGTGGTCGGTCCTCGGCTGTATAAAGCAGGCTTGTTTTGCTGTTTGGGATCAGAGAGCTTTCGGCTCATGAGAAGGTTGGACGTGTGACATCGGTTTCTTTGTTCCTACCTGCTATCATCAGTTGAGTTGTTGCGTTACCTCCCACACATCTCTGGGGGTTTTATATTTGAGGAATACTGAGAGAGGAACTTCAGCCATAAGGGACCTGAAACTATCCTAGTCAGCTTTAGTGTATCAAAACAACATCCAATGAAATGGCACATTAGAGGATGCCTTTGGTTTGGCATCAACTTTAACACTGACCAATGAATGATCTGAACTGCTCAGGGAAAGTAACACAGCAGAGAATTTTTCAGGGCACAATGTGAGGAAGAGGTGTAGGAGGTTTGTGTGATGTTCTGTTGTATCATGAACACAGATGGGTGGGCTCATCAACAATCTGTGTCAGTTTGTAAGTGATGGAGAAGCCTTGGGAGTATCGACTTTCTTCATCTTTCATAAATCACATCACTCAAAAGCAAGTATTTTGGAATATTTAACAAAACTTTATTTTCTTTATAAAAAGCTATTCTAAATATTTTTTTTACCACAACTCGTTTATTCATGAGGATTTATATCATATAAATCTGTCAGATCCTAGGTGACTATTTGCAAAGCATTGTACTTACCTGAAATTGTCATAGGTTGAACCTTGTTCCATGAAAATGGCCGCATTTTGCATTCAGGTTCTGGGATGGCAATTTGTGGAAAGAATTGCTGAGGTGCACGAAGAACTGTCTGACCAGGATTGCTTGGTAATAGTGGAGGTGCTGGTGGTCCAGTATTTGATATTGTGATGGTCGGAAGAAGTGGAGGTGGAGGAGGCGGAGGGGGCGGTGGTGGTGGTAAAGAAGGTGCTGTTCCTTGGGATGGAGTCCTGGATGAAGTTACAAGGGAGGAAGAAGGTGGAGTGATAGATGGAGGAAGAGGTACTGTTGGAGGGGTTGTATTTTGCTGAAGAAATGGAGGAAGTGGAGGAGGAGGAGGAGGGGGAATTTTTGTAGGAGTTATGTTTGGTTGAAGGAATGGAGGAAGTGGAGGCGGAGGTGGTGGTGGTGGCGGCGGCAGTGGTGGAGCATGTATTTTAGTCATTATGTGACTTCCTTTCTCAGGAGTACTGGGCCCCAGTAAGAGCTCTTTACTGTCTTTAATTGAGAAATCTTCATTTAGTAAATTTGAAGTCTTTGATTCTGTCGACACAAGTCCTTCCTGCAGAGAGTTCATTTTTTTCTGAAGCCTGGCTAGAAGTTCAGTGTCTTTTATTGTTTCTGTTTGTACTATTTTATCCTCATGTTGCACAGTGGAATACATAATTAGATTGCTTGATAGAGTTGATGTGGTACTTGAGCGTCGACTGGAATTTAGGCTGCTTGGCAGTGACATCTCATTATTAAGCAAATTATGAACTTCTCTTTCCAGCATATTCCATATTGGTTCACTGAATAAAAGCGAAGAAATATGCATAATTAAAAATTTTGAATAAAATCAATTCATAGAAAAATTTTTTTTCTTCACAAACAAGTTTCTTTCATAACATTTAGTAAAAATAGCATAAAAATAAAAATTACAAGATTGGTGGGTGGCAGTCATGTGATGAAGCCAGTGTTGAAGCCGAACTACCTGTCAGCAAGTAGTTCCATTTTTATATCTTTGGTTTAACAGGTGCAGGCTCCCTGGAATTTTTTTTTTTTTTTTTGATGGGAATGTTCATGATTGGCTATTGCAATTTTGGATTTTTATGGGGATTTGTTTTGTGGACTGGATGTAATGCTTGAAGCTCCAGCAGGGAGGATGACTTTTTTGTGTTTTGCTTTCTTAGTGCTCACATCAGGCCGACACGTCTGGTGAAACATATATGTGAATCAGAAAGAGAGCTTGATTGAGTAGTATAACAGTTGTTTCAGAAGTATGTGTAACTTGGCGCTGCATATATTCTACAAAAGTTTCTATTTGTTTGAGGTTCTACAACTTGATAGAGAACACACATAATGATCTCAAGTTGAAAGTAGGTAATGCTTAATTTATGAAAGGGATAAATAATTATAGCATAAATAATTATATTATTTATTTATATATTTATAATTATTTAAAGAATAAATAATTTATAGCAAAATTGGCATTTTATAAATGCTCATTTAAAGGCCAACAAAGGATGTCATAAAACTTGATTTTATGTCACTTTTTTTTATAGAATTTATAATTACTAGTTATCCATTGCTTCAAGGACATCAAATTTCAAATGCAAATTGTTTGCCCATTTAAGATACTTCATTTATGAGTAAATATATTCAATTTAAAATTAAGAGATGTCATCAGAATATTTCAGAAAGCTGCATATTTCATCATTCTTTTCCTGTTATCCAGACTGAAAGAGAAATTAGCCATGTTGCACTGATATCCATTTCAATTTTATTTGAACTGTGTCAATACATTTGCATTTGTGTCTGTATGAATATCTATTTTAATTCAATGAATAAAGACAAAAGGTAAGCTTAACACATTTTGTCCTCTGACAGACTTTATCAAGGCAAATGCAAGGATTTTATTTTGTAGCATGTATTTATAGATAAGAACAAAAATATTGCTAGTTTTTCAAAATTTTTAAATCTAAGAAATACTAGTAAAAATTCATCAGATTAGCTGAAAAATCTAGGTAAGTTATGGAGGATGCTAAGTGATATAATTTAACATCTAATAAACAAAATTCAAATTTAATTCAATGATAGAAATTAAAATATTTCTTGAAAAATAAAAAATAAAATAAAAAAGACTACAGAATTATTTTATATATTACTGAATAATTTCCAAAAAAATTCAATAAAATCTTATTATTATCTGATTTTATTTTTGGGGGGTTTAAAAAGGATTTTTACCACTCATTCCACATGTACCATTTTTACTGAAATGCACTTTTTGCACTAATCATGTTTTTACAAGTTTAACCTAAATTCACCTGTCATAAGCAATAAACTAGACATTTATTTGAGGCCATCTCTATGCTGTTATTTAAATATATTCATATGAATAGACTGATATCAATAGATAGAAACAGAGTGAAATAGCACAAACTCATGTATTTCACTTACATATAACACAGACTTATACATTATATATACAAAGTTACACATATTGTATGACAGAGGATCAGCTCTTCTTTCATAATATTCAAATATAAATAAAGGAACTACTCTATAATTATGCAAAATCTATATACATTTTCAATTTAAGGTTAGCTTTATTTGCACTCCTACTAATCCATAATCATCTGTGCTTATAATTTAGATTTATTTTTTGTATAAAATAAAAACGAATTTTATCATGGAAAATAAAAATAAAAAGAAATTAAAGGATTAATCATTTTTGCATAAAATAATGTTATCCATGAAATAGCTTAGAGGATTAAAGTATTGCTTCATGTACTTGATGGCATAGTAATAGTAAGTTCAATCCTTAGGCAGGGTAAACACGAGCTATAACCGATCTGTACTAAAAAAAGAACAAGGCGAGATATACCTATTTATGGATAGTGGAATGAGAAGCCTTTCTCCCCATAGATCAAATAAAGGGTCAAGTTTGAAATTCCTTGAATGTTATCCAGGCCAACAATCATCTGAAGTAGGCTGTCGGGAACAGCAGATAAATTATTGTGATAACATCAACAAAGATGGAGACATTAGTCCAACTGGAAATAATGTAAATAATGATAACACCTCATCATAGAAATTCAGACAAATTTCACTGTCCAACAAAATTTAACTATTTGTCAACTACAAAGATGAGAGTGTTGTTTTCTAGGGTCATTTTGGGTGTATATTATGAAAATAACATTCATTTTTTACAAAATGTCTCCAATTTTTTGTAAGTTCCTAATTACCATTTATTTCAAATTTTCACAAAACATGATGAAAGGTTCCACCAAGATATTTTCAAAATAGAAACTCATTATAAAGCCAAGTTCAGTCCTGTCTAGATCTAAATAAAGAATAAAAGCACAAATATTCTAAAAAGTAAAATTTTTTTCTTTTATTAAAAATTTTCTTTTAATAAATAAGCTTGTATTTATTTAGATATTTTAAATGAAATAAAGCATTTATATGAACATGTTTAATACTCATAAATCTAAATTTTCCAAATTTTGAAAAAATTAATTTGTAAATTGCAAAAAACTGGAGTCATTTCATAAAAATGGAGTTCATTTTCATGACCTACTCATCACCATAGAAAACTGCATTCTTCTTTCTTTAGCAAAATCATTGTTGGACAGCATTATTTGAGTTTGGATTTGAGATTATCTAAAACCAAACTATATATCCAGAATTTCAATTTAGTTTGAAAGATTTTCAGCTTGTAATATTCGATACATTCAAATCCTAACTATTTAGTAATGTTCCACCATAACTAAGCAGACCCTGAACTTTACCCAATCATGACAGATGGGCATTCTCTCAAGGATGCTCCTTGAGTGTGGAATGTCTCACCACCAAACCTCAAGTGGAACTCATATATATAATATAATGATAAAGATGCTGGAAAATTGGCTGGTTCATTGTACCACAAAATATTTGACTTACTTTTTTTTCTTGCAGTCATTTGAAGAATTTTACAAAAACATTGTTGGTCAATGATAGATTATGTGTCTGAAAATAAAGAAGCAGCATTTGTTCTGTGAAAAATTCTTCTTTATGTATCATATCCCCTCAGAATGTAGACAATCATGGTTCTCTCCAACTTCCTGTCCCTTGCAGCTCTTAATAAATTTTATCTTTTCATTATTTCTCCTAAACCCTGTTCTGTCATCAATTTACTAAAGCTCATGAAGCATGTTATGCTGTTTTCCTATCTTTAAATCTGTCCTGTGAGTATCAGATTTTCCAAGCCTTCCTTCCTTATTTATAATTTCAGCTGTCTCTTCCTGATGTTAAGTATAAGTTTCCTTTTTGTTTCCATTTTCTCTAAAATCTCATCATTGCTCACATGTTCAGTCCATGGTATCTTCAGCATCCTTCTGTAGAACCACATTTCTATTGCCTCAAGCAAGTCTCTTCATCTTTCTTTGCATTCACTGCCATATAAAAGGACAGATATCATTACAGTTCAGTACTCTTTTCTTTGTTTCTAACAATGTTTTTCTGTCTCTTAATACTCTGCTTAGCTTTTGGAGTGCATCTTTGGCAATCTCAATGTGTCTTCGGTTTTAGTGTCACACTTTCCATCTTCTGCTAGAACACTTTCCAGATATTTAAAATTTTTGTACTTATTTGATTTTGGTATTTCCAGTTTGTAATTTGCATTTTGGGCTCATCCTTTTACTAACAGCCATGCATTCTGTCTTCTTGCAATATTACTTATACTTAAGAATTTTCTCTATCTAAAGTGTTATCCTAGAAGACATTTCATATTGTTGTTTAACAACATTAATATTATTTCAGATAGGTACAGGATGAAAACAAAAATAGAATTTTTCAACAGCTAGTAAAACACTTGGAAAAGAGAAAAAATATACAATTTTTAGAAGTGAATGACACAGTCTTGTAAAAGATAAAATGAAGCAACATCTGTTTTCATATGTCAGTAGCCATTTCAATATGAAGTAAGACAACAAAAAGGAGCACAGCTGTGTATGCTAAAGAGCATAAATTTGCCCTCAGTTGATACAACTCCCTTCAAACAATAGACTAATGCAAACCTGAGGAAATAAGATTTTTTAAGCCTGTATCACAGATTTCCCATTACTAAACATGTTCACTCTGATGTCAGAAAGTGTTTAGGCACAATATACCTGATAGATTATTTTAGACTGGCATAAAGCTAATTTAATTACACTCTTCAATGCATTTCCAACTTTTCTCATGAAAATTTGCAATATGATATTTTTCAATAAAGATTTAAACTTAGTTATGTCTGGTACAAGAAAGAATTTGCACAATTAGGATAAAATTCATTACTAACTACTTGAAAGATTATCTCTGTAACCATTATCCCATGATTAGTATACATTGATAGGTAATTGTTGATTTCAATCACATTAGGGAATGATTATTTATTACCACTTTTATACAGTAATTGTGGCACAATGCCAAAGGAGAGTGGGGTAAGGCTGGTCATCACTAACTATCCTAGACCTAGTTAATCAGACTCATGACCCATTTATTCATTACAATTTACTCATTCACCACAAAAACTCATCCATCTCCATTCAATTCTACAAGTACCACAATACTACATATTCATAGGGAACCTACAAAACAACCACATCAATACTCCTTTCTTTTTTACCTACAAAAATATATGAAAATATTATGAATCATGAAATGAGATGGGAGGAGATGGATCCAAAAACAAACTAAAAATATAACAAAATCAAACTAAAATACAGTGACTCACCTGATTTTTTTTAACTAAAAATATTTTTTGTCTATTGTTTTTGGGGTTAAAATA